TGTGGTGTATTGCTTGTCATGTAGGGTTTCTTGAGAGGAGAGAAAAGGACATGTCATCTTTCTTCATAGACAATAAAAAAAAAATTAAACTTGATGAGGGAGGTGGAATTAGTATGATTAATTATTAGTTTAATTAAATTGGAAATTAGTAGTTAATTAATGAAATTATTGTTTAATAAAAAAAAAAAAGAAGGAAAAAGTAGAGAGAGAGAGATATAGGGACAAGTAAAGCTAGAGGGATTGAGTTGGATGCACTTTCCACTTCATAGAAGGAAGAAGCTAAGCTAAGGGTTTTGTTAGCAATCACATGGGGGGAGGAGATAAACTAAGCTTTTGAAGCTGACAAATCCAAATCATGGTTTTCCTAAACAATTCATCCCACACCAAAGCATGTCCCCTCCTTTGCCTTCCTTTCCCACATACTATGCTTACATACACCCCCCAATTTTTCTATTTCAATTTTTAACCAATTAAATCAAATATCTCAGACAAAGACCTTGTGATCGAGCGGTATAACTCTGACTTCTTAAATGAGAATTTTCAAGTTTGAACTCCAGTGTCAGTATGAGTAGCTTTTTAAATATGCCTCTTTTTGGAGATGACAAAACAGAAAAATAATTACGTTTCTTTAAATGTGCCTCTCTTTGGAGATGACGAAACAGGAAAATAATTAGGTTTGGCAGGATGTTGATACATGCAACCTGACGGCGAAACATGAAAATACAGTGTTGCAAAAATCGGACCTAGGCGCCGATTAATCGGCGACTAGGCGTTAGGCGGTCGGCCATCTAGGCGCCCGCCTAGGCGCTCTAGGCGCCGATTAATCGCTCTAGGCGCCCTAGGCGGTCACCAGGCACCTAGAGGGCGCCTAGTGATTTTTTCAACCTTGGGAAAATAATTAGGTGTGGCAGGATGTTGATACAGGCAACCTAAACAACCTAATTAAATGAATGATAACCTGCTATCAGGTGAAATTGCATACATTTGAAATATCTTTTCGTTCGGTGGCTAAATTACACTTTCAAGTTACGTTCAGTGGTCAATTTAAACTTTATTCCATTAAAAAATGTAGTAAATGTTTAACTAGTTATTATAATTATAATCTATAATAAATTTTGAGTCTTATCTAATACACTATACATCAACATGGTGTTATATTACAAAGTTTAATTCATGTATAACAAGGTTTAACTTAATTGCTCCACTATATTGTCCCTTTCCAAGTTGGAAGGCCTAAAGTGTGTTCCTCATGCATGGGAGTGGAAGGAAGGAAGGGAGGAAGGAATAGTACTACGTTGTATAGATTGTGGCCTAGGAATGACGTTTACAACCTTTTTGCATTTATTACAACTCCAAAAAAGCAACCTAGCTATATATATACACATATACATACATATATTGTATGAAAGAAGATATATATATGATATGATGTTGATGAAGCTTTAATTTTGGGCAAGTTGATACGAGTCCGTAAACCAGGGTCCTATATTTCAGGCTTTACTGCTGGAACATATACACAATCATTGAACCAAACTCCCTGCTACCTATAAAAGATGATGATGACCATGTAAGAGAAAACAACATATATGTTTGGTATTATATGTGTTGGTCCATTTATTGAATTATTTATACAAGTAAGGTAATCGAGTTTGATATTTGAGTAATGTGATTTGCATACAACATAATGATTAATGAGATTTGAAATGACGTGATTAATTATATATAGTAAGTCGTAGTGATATGTTAAATAATATTTGAAATGACGTGGTTATATAGTAAGTTGTAGTGACATGTATGTTATTAAAATATAATGTTGTTTGAATTTTAAGACTTTTACTTAGACATATGCTTAACACGATCACATGATTAAAGAGAATTATACGGAGTAGTAACAACGTAACTTATGTGGTCTCCATAGTCACTTCTCAAATGACTCCAAGTGTTAGTTGATAATATTATTATAGATTTATAGGTATATATAGTACGAGCTACTTTGAATTTTAGTCATTGATTATGGTGGAGTTCTCACCGTCATACCTTGACCATGTTTTTTTTTTTTTTTTTTTTTTTTTCTCTGAAAGGAAGAACGAAATTTCAGTAACAAGGTAAAATAACATTACAAATATAAGAGGGGAGGGGGTATGGCATCCCAAACCTCTGGACCATGCGTGGAGCGTAGCCCACAGCGCAATTTGAATTGCACAATTTGCCGATCTCTTAATATGAAGAAAACAAATCTTATCAGTATCATATCGTGAAGTAAATTAACACGGTTTATAACGAACCGTACCCGATGACGAAATAACAATTACTTCATTTTCTTTTGTGAATTCAGCTCTGTGATTCTCTCTCTATCAAATTTAGTACTCCATTTGTCCCATTTTACCTGACTTACTTTCCTTTTTAATTTGTCCCAAAATAGTGTCATTTTTTCAAAATTGAACATAACTATCTCTCTACATTTTTCAATTTGACCTTTTGACTTTTCAAATTTCTAGAGGAAAGTACAATTGTATTTTGTACAAATAACACCTACTTTTGAGGGGCAAAATTGGAAAGTGAGTAACATTTATTATGTTGTATTAAAAATTGCGCAAAAAGCAAATAAGATTATCAATTAGGGACGAAGGGAGTATTATATTATGATGGAGTATGACTAAAAAACTCCAAATATAATCTGGTTAAAATAAAATAGTATAACTAACTATAAAAAAAACTGAGTAATTAGAGACTATAATTGAAATTAAATTTTTATAAATATTCTAATCAATAAAAATCTCACATATCATAACATATTATAATTATATTAATCACTAATTTAGCTAATCAAGAAATATTATAACATATACTTTAAGCCACCATGATTTACATCCTCTCACATGCTCTGTCAAGTCGGAGTGTGGGAGGCCTTTAGAGTTGGAGATTCAGCCTTGGGGTAAGAAATATTATAACACATTACGTAAAATAAAACACTTTATAATAAAAAGATAATGTTATCCTTTTTGTTCTTAGTCATCATCTAGCTTGAAAACCAACTTTATTGACCAGTTAAAAATGTTAATTAACCTCGTCATTAACGTTTGAATAAACATTGGTGCTGATGAAAATTAATATAAATAATGATTACACCTTAATCAACAAGTGTCACTATCTTCATTATACTCGACATATTTCCCATAATTGATTACTGCAAACAACTAAGCAAAAAATAAACTTTATATTTAACCAAAAAGTTAGACGTCTCAACTTACATTTATAGTTAGTTATTATCCTACTTGGCCTTGAAAGTCACATTTCATAGATCAACTACCCCACTGTTCATCAAAATAATTCTCCAAAATGATGTCATCCAAATTATTGATAGCAAAAATATCACAAATTTGATTTTTATCAATATTTTTTTAGTCAAGTTCGTTGCGCCAAGTAATTTTTTAATACAGCGTATATCTCATGTAGTTGGGTGTAATTTGTGAGATATTGCATAAAAACGAGATTTATACAACACATATTTTGATAGTGACTACAAGTTTAATTTCTCTGATAAAAAAAATCTCCAAAATGATTTCATCAAAATTATTGATAGTAGTTTTTTTAAAAAATGAAAAAAAAGTTATTGATAGCAAAATTTTGCCTTTAAGCTAACATTAAACTTTAAAGGTGTTATAATAATTGGCTGCGCAAGTTATGTATTGTGACCATCATACCAACCCTTAAATTGACCCAAGAACTTGTATTCGCAAGTAATATTATGTGTATTTTTAATAGAACAAATATATTGCCTAACGTGTTATATTTTGGTTGATTTGCTCTAAGTCTAGGACCGCTACTTGATTTGACGATTATCATAATTAAAAAAATATTCATGTTAAAAGTAGCTCAATTTTTTTTTTTTTTTTTTTTTTTGGGGGTATAACCTCAACATATTGTTTGATTTTTGTAAATTAAATTTATTAATAAAAAGACATGAGGTTTTGTACTTTATAATTTGATTTTATTTGAATAATACAAATCAAGTTTAATAAACAATTTAATGAAATCATTTGTTCAAATTAATAGAGTTTTTTAGTACTAGTAACTTTGTTACATATATGTTCAAATTAATAGAGTTATGTGTCAATTTTTTTATTTTATTTTATTTTATTTTATTTTTTTATTTTTTGCAAACTTTGTGAACATGTCTTGGACCAAATCCAAATTAGTGTCATAGTAGTGTAAACATTGAATACTGTATAATAAACAAATAAATAAGATATGAAAGGCATAAATAGTTGGATTCAAATTAATGGGAAAAAAAAGTGAGACAAAATCATTATTGTGAAGATAACAATAATTTTATTTTATATAAATTCTAGACTAATATAGAAAACTGAAGGGGTAAAAAAGAGGAGAAAGTGACAATTAGAGATTTTAAGTCATGGCAATCAAACAAATGAACATGAGAAGATCATGAGATTGTAATACAAATAATCAATCCTTCAATTTATTAGTAATTATTGCACTTATCAAAAATAGAAACAATATTTAAGCTGGAAAGAATTAGTCAAGGTGAGTAGCACATAATTATCATACTTAAGCATCATGAGTTCGATTATTAACAACACCTTTTTACTCGAGTCTGTAGAGATTTTCTTAGTGCTGTTTATTACTCTTGTATTAGACTACGGTTTCTTCTTTACCAAAAAAAAAATATTTAAAAAAAATGATATAAGATGTGAATTATATATTGCATATATATACTATTGTTTCTAAAATGATGTGTATGTAAAGCTAATATGCTTTTACCGGCGAGCGTCACCCGACGCTCGTCTCCGGCGTGTAACTGTCAAAGGGACTCACGAGTCACGACAGTGACAGTAACCCTAGCAAGGAAGATAACTACGTCTGAAGACAAGCCACAAAAAATTAAAATACATATTTAAAAAAAAAAACAAATATTAAAGAAAAAAAAAGGAAAAAAAGAAAAAAGAAAAATAAACAAAAACAAAAAACAAAAAGAAAGATAGTGAGGGAGAGAGAAGGGATGAAGGGCACTTTACTACTTTTTTATGTTGCACGCATCCATGGCAGACCTCTGAAGGCAAAAATAGATTTCTTCAAGAAGAGAAGAAAGAAGAAAATTTTCACCAAAAAAACAGAGAAAAACATCATCTTTCATCACTCTCATCAACCCCAACTAGCCCAATTGATTCAGAGGAAGAAGAAGAAGGAGCTTAGAGCTTCTTAGCTGAACAAAGGGTTGTGTCTGTAAATCTGCGTTTTTGCATATACACATATATAGATATATAAAGGCGCATGCTTTGGTGTATATTTGTACAGAAAGGAGTTTCTCCATTGTTCATGCAGTTCAAGAACTGGGTTTAAGAAAGTTTGGGTGATTTTTAATTTATTTTTCCAAATTTGTGGGATTTGTGTGGTGGGGGTGGGGGGTTGTGAAGCTGGGGAAGAAGGGGAGACTGGGTTTAGATGAAGGGGATGCCCTTTCCCTTTGAATTTGAGAGGAAGGGGGTGTTAGAATTGGGAACTGTTTTGGGTCATCGGAATCATAGTAATTGTGTTTCTGGGATTCCTGGGAATAGTGTTTTAGGAGGTTTTTGGAATAAGGATTGTGTTGTGGGGAGTCCGGGTGGGAGTAATAGTGAGCCCACGTCTGTTCTGGATAGGCCTCTTGCGTCCTCTTCAACGCTGTCTTCTTCTTGCGGCGGCGGCGGCGGCGGTGGTGGTGGTTCGACGGACACGGCCAGGGTGGCGGCGGTTTCTGGTAACCCGGCGTCGAAATGGCAGCAAGACAACACCACTGCCACGAGTTCTAATGCGGGGGGAGGTGAATCGGAGCTTCTGCAGCCTGTTCCGCCGTCTCTTGAGTTCGGCGGCGCCGCCGCGCCGGAGAAATGTGGGATGGAGGAGTGGGACAGTGTGTTGTCGGAGTCTGTGGCGGCGTCTCCGAGCCAGGAGCCGCTGCTCCGGTGGATCATGGGGGATGTGGATGACCCCTCCATGGCTAACTTGAACAAGGTGTTGCAGGTTAGTGGGCCCGGCGAGTACGACTTTAACGGCGGTTTTGACCCGGCGGTGGATCAAGGGTTTGGAGGAGTTTCCGGCGAGAGTTTCATCCCCATCTCCGGCTCAAATTTCCCGGCGAACAGACTCCCCGTCCCCAACCCGCCGCCTCCCCTCCCGGGCTTCAAATTCCCCGCGGGGCACCCGCAACAACCCCCGCCGCTGTTCCCTTCCGTCTCTAACAACCTCGGCGCCGCCGCATTCAACCCGGCGCTCCTGGAAACCGCAGATCTGAAGCCACAAATATTCAATCCCCAACTCTTGATCAACCAGCACCCCCAGAACCCATCGTTCCTCATGCCATTGCCGTACTCCCGGCAGGAGCAGAGCCTCCTGGCTCCGCCGCAGGCGAAGCGGCACAACCCCGGCGGGAATCTTGAACCCCCGGGCCCTCAGATCCCCAGACCGCTATTCTCCGATCAACAACAACAACTGCTCCCCCACCAGCTCCAATTACTCCCAAATTATCTCCACCCGCCGCCGCAGCAACGGCCCAAACCGCCGGAGATGGCCGGAGAAGAAATGGGGCATTTCCATCAACACCAGCAAGCAATAATCGACCAGCTTTTCAAGACGGCGGAGCTGGTCCAGTCCGGGAACCCTATACTCGCGCAAGGGATATTGGCGCGGCTCAATCACCACCTCTCTCCAATCGGGAAGCCTTTCCAAAGAGCAGCTTTCTATTGCAAAGAATCTCTGCAATTACTCCTCCAAAATGCCACCAATAACATGAACCCTAACCCTAACCCTCCATCATCCTCGGTGCCATTTAGCCTTATTTTCAAGATTGGTGCCTACAAATCCTTCTCCGAGATCTCCCCCATCTCGCCCTTTGCCAATTTCACCTGCAACCAAGCCCTGCTCGAGGCCTTGGACGGGTTCGATCGGATTCGCATTGTGGATTTCGATATCGGGTATGGAGGCCAATGGGCTTCTCTAATGCAAGAGCTCGCCTTGAGGAGTGGAGGCTCCCCTAGCCTCAAGATCACCGTTTTAGCCTTGCCCGCAATGCACGATCAGCTCGAACTCGGGCTCACACGGGAGAATTTGATCCATTTCGCTAGCGAGATCAATATGGCGTTCGAGTTTGAGATTTTGAGCATCGATTCGTTGAACTCAACTTCGTGGTCACTCCCACTTCATATCTCGGATAACGAAGCGATTGCTGTTAATCTCCCCGTTGGTTGCTTCACCACCTACCAACTATCGCACCCTTTGGTGCTTCGTTTCGTTAAGCAGTTGATGCCCAAGATTGTGGTTTCTGTAGACCGAGTTTGTGATCGGACCGACCTCCTATTCCCCAACCACGTAATCCACGCCCTTCAGTACTATGCCAACCTTCTCGAGTCTCTCGATGCTGTGAATGTGAACTTCGATGCCCTGCAGAAGATCGAGAGGTTCTTGCTCCATCCCGGGATCGAGAGAATCATAATGGGCCGTTATCGTTCCCCCGAGAAAACACAGCACTGGAGGACTCTGTTCCTATCGTCTGGATTCTCCCCATTGACTTTCAGCAATTTCACCGAGTCTCAAGCCGAGTGTGTGGTGAAAAGAACTCCGGTCCGAGGGTTCCATGTCGAGAAGAGACAATCTTCTCTCGTTCTTTGCTGGCAGCGGAAGGAGCTTATCTCGGTTTCAGCTTGGAGGTGCTGATCGAAGAAGAGCAGACCCGTTCGATATTTAATCCCGTTCCTGATTATGAAGGTGTCATAATTCACTGTTTTAGTATCTGAACATTTTCGATTTTCTTTTCTTGCCTATAGATTTTATTCGCTAATTGTCTTTTGTGGCCTAGTCAGATTGTTTCAAAGTAAGGAAAATATCAAGACATTTTGGTAACTCGTTCTAGTATAGGGTTTATCTATTATTATTATGTTGAATGCGGTATTACTTTCATGATGCTCAATGATTTTCAGGAAGAAGGCATCAGTTTACGTTGGTTCTAATTGTGTTTGGGAAATCTGTTGTAACAGTACAAAACCAGAAATGAAAAACGAACAATTTAACACTTTGACTGGTGCTCTTGTCTTATGTCAAATGATGTTTTTGCTGAGAGGTTTCGCATAAATCCTTGACAGTCAAATGATGTTTTTCGCTTAGAGCTTTGCCCGTCTTCTATTTCTATATTTTGTGGCATCTTGAAGTCTCGATCGTTGACATAGTTTTAATATTCCGTGTTATTTCTGGAACCAGATTTTCGTGAATCCAAAATTTGTCCTTTCTGTTCTAAATGATAACCTCGTAGATCTTTATTCCTGTCATTGCCCTCTGCCAGTGTTAGTTTTTGCATATTCGTAGGTATCTGCATATATCGGTTCTGCATATTCATAAATACCTTTGAACTGATTTACTTCATTAGAGCATATTTTCGGGGAAGTTTCCTGGCATCCCCAGATTAGGGAATGCATCATAATGGTTCATTTCATGTTAGAAAAACATGTAAAAACGTTAGTTTTCTGGGAATGAAGTCGGGTCTCCTTGAACTGTCTCGTGACTTTTTGGCTTACTCTTGTACTTAGTTGTGTCGGGAAACATCATTTGATGATGGTGCCCACACATTTCGATACGATATAGGGCTTCCCGATCAGATATTTGGCCAAAAATTCTGTATAGTACATGATGCTTGCCATGGAACTAACCGCTAATTTATCTGTTCAGACTGGCGCGTTATTATACTAATCCCTCCCCGCATTATTTTAATGGTACAGTTGTTATATGATTGTTTATACTAATCTATATATCATGGTATTATAATACATTGAATTTGCTGCTCTTTAGCCTCTCATTTCTTTATTGCATAGTCACATGGAACTCATACTATTGGACCTGCACATGAGTAGTTTAAGCTCTCTTTACTTCATACATTACTTTAGTCTGCAGTTTTTTATACCTAATCGCGATATTAAATTCTCGAGGCCATGTTGTTGGCTTCGGGGATTGGGAGAAACGACAGATGTTTGGCTTTCTTACCGGGCAGGGAAAGATGTGATACTCTGTTGTGGTTTTAACCTCGGGCTGTTTTGGTGCGCCCGGGTAATGTGTTTTGCAGGTAAAATGTTGTGTTAGAAGACAACATACAATGTGTTTGTGTCTTTGTGGAGGCTTGTGATGTTGAGTACAGATTGGAGATTTTGGTGCTGATATTGTGAGATGTGGTTATGGATACAGGGATGAGTGGGCAGGTCTGATGTATGTATATGTGACTTGACATTGAATGAAAAGTTGTTGTTCATGAGGTTTTTGGTTGATTGAAAATGGCGAGAACGACAACTCCAGTCAAATTGGTCAGACGGTTGATTTGTTAATCACAAGATTTTAAGTTCGATTTTGGGTCTTTTACCGATTCGAGTCAAAAGGTTAGTCCTTTACTGACTAGGGTCTTTGGGCAGAGTTTTTTAGGTTGGTTTACCTCATTGCGGTACTTTATCAGCTAGGGTCACAAGGCAAATTTACGGTTTATAATCAGGTGAGAACAAACCTTAACTTATGAACTGCGAACTTGTGAATGATTGCACTGTGCTTACTACATGATTGCACCATAGCCGGATACAATTGCACTGCAAGATCCTTCGGGCATGTCTGGGAGCCGTAGCAGTGCAATCATGTAGTAGTTGCGGTACAATCCTTCTCAAGTTAGCAGTTCGTGAGTTGAGGTTGGTTCTCACCTGATTAGAATTCGCAGATTTACCTTAATGACCTCATTGTGGTCCTTTATCGGTTAGGGTCACAAAACAAATTTACCTAATGCACACCTTCAATTATTGACTGCGAAATTTTTTGCACTCAACCAAAAAAAAAAATTGTGAGAGGCCAGCAAGATCCATATGTTTTTATTGAGATGTTTAATTGTTGATTGAAATGAGAACATAGCCTTCATTTTTTGAAAGAGGGTTTTGAGAGGTCATTGTTTATGGATGGTGACAGTCTGACATGCATCCCTTCTTAAGATATGCATTGCACTACCCACTAGGGGTTTTAATTAATCAAAAATATTGTCCTCTAAATCGGGGTTCTCACAGCTCTAAGCAAAGCTATTAACTTTTTAGATTTTCATCATTTTACAATTGTTAGCAAAGTAAAATTATAAACATTATGAAGTTTTACGGTTTTACAATCACAAAGCAAAGTTATTAACTTCTTTGAATCAATTAATTAATTGAGCTATGTTGAATTGATTACGTAAATATTTGTATAAATAAATTGAGCCTTACCAATGACTTTGTGGTCTAGTGACATGAAGTGACTCTCCTAGAAAAAGTCATGAGTTTGAGCCTAGTGGAAACGGTATTGACTTTTTGTGCTTCAGTAGATTGAGAAAGTAGTTATGAATAGATATTACATTGTAACAGAGTCAGTAATACTAAAAATAAATAAATAAATTTGAGGCTTATATAAGATTAGACATACCAACTCGATCAATTACATAAATGTCGGTATTATAGGTTTGGCATTAGTTAGGAATGTATATTATAAGGTTGAAACGATAAAAGTCAGAGTGGAATTGCTGTATGTCTGGATTAATCAAAGGTACAAACATATAAATTGTGTGACATAAATTTGGAATATTTCACCCAACAATTAGAACATGCATACAATTACAACGTGGATTTGCTGTCGTTTGTCTAACGTTTGTCTTTTGTGTGTGGCAATTCCTTTCGCTTTTCCGTCTTTAATTTTAAATTTAAAAAATCAATTTTAATACTGTGGTTTTGGAATTTTGCTTGGAAACCAAAAAAAAAAAAAAAGTCAATTAACTCTTCGAACTTTTTATGAAAAAGTAATTAGCCGCATAAATTTTTAAAAAAAATACCATACAGACTTTTATTTTCTACTCTTAACTTGTACTTTGCAGACTTTTAATTGTACTTTTATTTTTTAATAAATTATTTTATTTGAATAAAACAATTAATTGGTTTAATTACGTCAAATCGATAAGTTAATGTGTTTAATTACAACTTTAAACTTTACGAGCATAATTATTTTTTTAATAAAATTTATAGACCTATTTAACTATTTTCTTTTAAAAAAAATCAAAGCTAGCTTGGAAGGTCCAAGTTAATTAGCGCTAATTAACTCGGTCCTTCCAAAAATAATTATGGTTTTTTTTTTTTTTTTTTTTTTTGCTATTTTTATATTTGAAGAATTATATTATTTATATAATGCCTCGACCCACATGGAAGTTGAAAACATGTATGTCATCTCCGGCGCATGCTGTCGACTCCCTACATTAATTAACAACCATAAATCATAATCATCATTAGTATTATGTATTGTTAATATTATAACAACAATAATAATAATTAGTATTAATAATTCAGCAGATATTTTTTAGATAAAATTATTCCGATCCTATAATTCAAGAAAATTTTGCGTAGGGCATGATGTCGCACTTCAAAAGAATGAAATAAGTTATTTAGTAATAAAATAGTATAAAAATAAAACAACTAACTTTCTTGCAAAAGCTTCTATCTTTTTTTTTTTTTTTTTTTTTTTTTTTTTTTTTTTTTAATGAGGAAAACTCGTCATTAAATTATTGAGAATGTGTATTGAATAAACCCTCTTTTATACATGAGAGGTAAATTGTACTAGAAAAGTCATATACGATAAGTTTGACGCTTCAACTGAAAAGATGTTGGCAAGAATTGAACTCAGAGCAAATATTAATTACAAGAAAATCAACTAAATTGTTAAAAAAAAAAAATCAACTAAATTCTTAGCAGATCTGTGACTCTAGTCAGGAACGCAACTACCAAGTTAAGTTTAGCAGTTTACTTTTACTAAATGGATTTTGGGTAATCTTAAAAGAGATTAATTAACGATCTTTAGTTGGATTTGAGACTAATCAAATGTTTTTTTTTTAATATTAAACAATTCGCTGATCATATCTTAAAAGTAGGTCCATAAATCGGCTGCTTTTTCATAATCCATATATAATAATATATATTCAATGTACTATATAATATATATCTTGTATTTAATTTTCTATTAAAATAATTACTTCATATTTTTACAGCACTATGTATTAATTTAAAAATGTTATAAAATATTTACTCAACTTGATTGTGGTGGTTTTACTCCATCCTCTAGCAAATGGAATGAAGTATAAGAGAAAGTTAGGGTTTAGAGACTTTTATCTATTAGATATTTTAATATTTCACATTATTTACTCTTAATTTCATCTCAAATCCATCATGGTAATCTTCAAAGTATTTTCATCCAAAATTGAACACTTTTTTTTTTTTTTTTTTTGGTGAATGAGAACACCTTTCTTCTTAAAGACTAATATATGGTAATATACTCCGTATATAAATATACAATTTAACTATTAGTTTAGCCTTTTAATTAAAATAGGACACATTTGATTACCGTTCACGTGTTGTTAGGAGTACGGTTATTAAAAATGTCTTTATATAATAATATTATAACAATAATAATGAGGGCAAAATAATAATATATCATGAATTACAATTTCACAAGGTGTAAAATTTGAAGGAATAGCAATTTCATGGTTAAAAGGAATTGCAAATCCAAATGAAATTACAATTCTATCCTACCAAACACCGGCTTGATAATAATGAAAATTGAATTGTAATGGTGACCCACAATTAATGTTGCAGACCGACCATAATGGCAGCAAAAGCAGGAGAGCAGCACGTTCATGGTGAAATGTCATTATCAAATTCACACTATTTTCTCCTTTTTTTTTTTCTTGGGGGGGGGGTGTTATATTGAAGAAGTGTTATATTGCGAGTTCTACTATACATATTCTCAAATTCTACTTTCTGAGGTGGCAAACAAGGATTGGTTATTTTCATCGAGTCACAGAAAAATGTCTACATCAAGAATACGTGAGATGGAGTAAAAGTTAAAAGTATAAAATGAGAGTAAAATTGTTAGGCTACACCATTGACAGTCTCATCCTTTCCTACTCTACTGACTCTATTACAGTGTAGTATCTGTTCAAACATACTTTCTCAACCTAATGAAGCACAAAGAGTCAACAACATCTCCACTGAGGCTTGATCTCATGACCTCCCACATATGAGAGGTCAC